AACAGTTTTAGGACAATCATACCATTGCAGATAGCTACCTTGGTAAATTCAATTTCCTTTTTGAAGTGTAAAGAAGAGTTACTGAAAGATTGTCTAGAGAAGAACATTAAAGATAGAAAAAAAAGAAAAAAAAAAGAAAAAAAAAAAAACAACGCTGAAGCGAAGAGAGGTTATGATAAATCTCTGAGAAACAGTGGTGGGTAATGCATTTTTCATTTTGTTCTTTCTAGGTGCTTTGAAACCATGAAGGTAACTGGTATCAAGGAAGGACTGCATTATTACATGTAAATGTCATTTGGCTGCAGGACCATCCCAGAGTAACAATGTAGGGGAAGTAACAATGGCTGGTCTATGGCTGTGGAAACCAGAAAAGCCATGGTTGTTCACTGCCAGGTAGTGATTCCACAAAAGTCTGGTGATGGAAACTTATAATGAACCGTGATCAAGATTATGAATGAAATTGGCTGAAACCGCAGAGACAGAAATAGCTCACTGCACTTTCCTTAGAAATCTGGATCAAAATGAACCTAACTATTCAGTGAAGCCTGAATATACACTCAAAAGTATCCAAGTTTCTTGTCCCAAAGATGAAACGAACATACCATTCCTACTTTTTTCACCAACATTTTAAGAAAAATTATATATTAGTAGATGAAAGTTGAAGATTATCTTCAACATTCCCCACAAATACCATGTGAGATGAACAAATCTTTCTTGGTGAAGTGGATCATTTTAATATTTCATTTTTCATCAAAATTGTGAATCATTATTCATCAAAAGTGTGAGATCACTGGATTGCTTGACTCTACTCAAAGATGAGCCTGAAATGTCTCAGAGCATCTGGACAAGAACTCCATCTCTACAAGTATAGTTGTACATGCAGTTGTGCTTCATATCAGTGTAGGTCTTCTTGCAGGAAAAAAGAGTAAGCTTGGACAACATATGATAGCTTTATCTTGTTAGAGTTGAATCATTAATAGAAGATATTGTTCATAGCTTCCTTCCTAGAACTTTTATTGTTATAACATTTCCTTTTTTTTTTTTATGCATAAAATATGTCTTAAAATCATGTAATAATACAAGAATCATGTAATAACGAACCTTATATTAGAGTTTTTGAATCTTCTGTCCAGCTGAGATTTCCTGAAGGAATGCATTTCTCTGTTCCAACAATCTAACCAGGAATAACAGAACTCCTGCTTATGTTTTCTCCACAGAGCTCTACTGAGCTATAATGTGGTTATGTGGTTTTCCCTATAACTGCTCAAAGAAAGAACATCCCATTCTTCACTCTTTTCTGAAGGACCACCAATGGATTGTGTTATATGGAATTTAAAAACGCAGTTATGCCACATATCACAGCACATTCCTGGAATTCCCATATTGACCATGGATTGAAGACTGACCTCCATTTAGTACAAGATATTTGTTCAAACTCCCTAGAAACCTACGTCTGAGGTCCTGAATTAATTTTTCACAAGAAAGAAGATACATTTTTATTTGTACACACTCATCTCATACCTTTCTTCTCACTCTACTTGCTTCCACACTTTCCATAGACATTCCCATATGGAATCCCATATGGATTTGCTCTACAATTTACCCCTTCAATCTACCTCTTCAAGAAGCTCTCAAATTACAAACCTCAATAGAGAACTGCAGAGGTGAACTCTCTTCACCTTCCTTCTTCAGAAGAAAAAAAAAAAAAAAAAAACACAAATAAATCAATTAATTCCATAGCAAAACCAGGGCTCATGAAATTCAGTGTACATTGGTCTCTCTGTCACTGATCTCTTTAGAAAGATGTGCTCACAAAATCCAAGAGGTCCTGCACATACCTATCAAGTACTAAAGAGGTTTCTGGAACTAAAATGTCCCACAAATAATGAGAAAAAATAATTATAGTGCAATATGACGTCAACAAATGAGTATTCTTCTCTATATTGTACAGCCATTTGGCTGAAAATGAAAACTGAAGACTTTCAGTTTGGTTCATGACAATTACTGATTCTCTTTATTTCATAAAAACCCATTATTTGAAGGACCTTGATGTTTTCAGTGTCATCTAAACATAACTGGTCTATGTTGTAATTAAACTTTGATCAAATTGTTAATGGGATCTCAGAGGAAAACAGTATTTGACTAACAGAAGCATTCTTCTGCATGTATTAATCAAGCTAATTCTTATTGAACTGCTTGAATTTCTTACAATAACTACTCTTCCCCATTGTTAATTAGCAGAGCATGAAAATAGTAGAATCTGCTTTAATATTTTCCATCAAGAATATCCTGAAACTTTTGATTTTAACTCTCAACACCTATTCAGTTTTTATCAAAACATCACTTCCAGCTTTTCATGAGGTACTTCACTTAAAAACACCATATCCTTTTATTCAAAAATAGTCCAATACAATATCAAAGTATTTACTTATGGCATTAAGCACTTGAATCACTTGCACCAGCTGTCACATACAAATCTCCATTCAATAGCACTTTCATGAGTATTGCTGTTTTGTCAACATTTTCGTTGGTAATCTGGAAGCAGATCCGAAATCACCAGCGGCAGTATTTTCTGAATGATACAAATATTGGAACAAACACTCAGTCAGGTTAGTCAGACGGAATATGGTAAACAAAGTGTGACTCATTGGTAAAGGGAGTCTACTTTAAAAAGAAAGCAGAACAAAACAGAATGCACAGAAACCTGTAGGAATGAGGAATTGAGGGGTACAAGAATACCTGTTGCTCAGGTTCACATTTTTAGAAGGAAGCTGAAAATTGCTACAGTCCAGAGAGAAGCTAATAATAAAATCTTTTGCTTGAATATGACACAGATTCTTTACACTAAAATCTTAGTGTTCCATCTCTATAGGTTATAATCTAGTTCTCAAAACTGAGATGTGATTTCATGTCAGTAGATCGGTAACCTTACATAAAGAAAATGGGACTTATAAAGGTCTTTTAGACACAGCTTAAAAGGTATAACGAGTCATGTCCTGGGAGCACCAACAAGCCACATTCAAATGAGAAGTTAGGCAACTTTTTAACCAGGGAGTATGATTGACCACTGGGAGGAGGGAGGGGGGGAAGAAAGAAAAAAAAAAAGTAAATTAGTTGCCTCTTGTAGAGAGTGTAAGATCACACACCTTAGATAGTGACAAAAATAGGTTCAGCTCTAAGGTGGAAATAAGAGAAGAAAGTTCAATACTTGTTAGTCAATCACAGTCTCAATGTGGTACTGATGTGAAAAAAGGGAAACACTGCCTTAGAATGTATCTGCTCAATCATTTCTAGTAAGGACGGGGGGAGTATTAGTATGGCACTAGTAATACATTGCTAAGACATCACTTCAATTATTGTGTGTAATTATGAACGCTTGTGTTCAAAAAAGATTAACTTAGGCTGAAGCAGCTGCAGAGAAGGACTACCAGCATGATGAGAAGAATGTAAAATATATCATAAAAGAAGACAGAAAAAGCTTGTCTTGTTTAGAGAGAGGATAACTGCTATTGCTATATATAACAGGGTTGTAAAGGAGCTGTTTAAGCCAAAGGACTATCATGGTATAAGAACAAAGGGTAGAAACTGGACTTGAATAAATTTACTGTAATTTAGATCCTTCTTAATCACTAGGCAAATGAAGCATTGAAACAATTTTGCAATAGGAATTTGGGAGATAAAAACACTAACCAGCTTTAAGACAGAGCTTAAATCCACAGACATTCAAGCTTCAGCATCATTGTTATGGTTCTTGCGGCACCAGGGGACCAGAGCCAAACCGCAAGGTCCCCATCTGGGGACAGTTCTCTGTCCACAAATACTCACCATGTGGGTCTTGTATTAAAAGGGGACAATCTTTCCCAAGCTGCAGGGTCTGCTGAAACAAGCATCAAACTTAAATCTTGATCAAGCCCTGAAGTTAGTATCTTTTCAACTTACCACCTCTCCAAGAAAGAAAATGCTGGCTCTTCTTAGAGCCAGCATAGTTTTCAAGGTTTCTAGTAATGTTAAAAATCCCCTTTTAAAATCTTCTAAATTATATTATTTATTTTTTTTTTTTTTCAAAATAAAGCTCAAATTCCACAGAAAATATCACAGTTAAATGGGCACATACCAAAGACCATATATAGCTATGCAGCTTTTAGATCAGGCTGCCAATAAATAAATATATAATATCTAGATACCAAATTATTTTTCACTATTTACCTTGTACTTCATGGAAACAGCAAGTACTGCTCAGCCACAGAAAGACAAGTTATCATTTATTAATAGCATTTCAACTTAATATTATCTTATTCCATTAAATAAATGTTGCTGCATGTACCTTTCTCGTTGCATGTAAAGTGGCGAAGCTGTGCTTTGCTATAATAGCAATCTAAATGCAGTATCTTTTCCTCCCCAAATGGTTTTTTGTTTTGTTTTGTTTTGTTTTGTTTTGTTTTGTTTTGTTTTGCTTTGTTTTGTTTTGTTTTAAATAGGTCGCTTCATTACATTGGCTTCCGGAAACACTTCAGAATTATTAGTTGTCCTCAGGGCACAACATTTACAAAATCTATTTATAAAGACTCTAAGGTATTTTCCCTTGATTAGAATAATTTTTAAACTATGTACAGCTTCCTATGCTTCTATTGTTTTTTGTTTTCTTGCATGTCATGACTGCTGTAATTAAAGTGATAGTTTCTCCCTTTCTTACTCTGAAAACTGTACCAGAACAAACCTGCAAGTAAAATGGCATAGAATTTAATGTTTGTAATTTAATGAACTTCTGTTCACATGGCTTCTAAGAACATGTAAAACCATGCCTACAATTGTTTCCCCTGAAAATATCCACTTGATGGTATCCAATTTTTATCAGTACCAGATTTCATCTTTTTTCTCTGTTGCAACTGCTTGCTTTTAAAAGGTGGTTAGTTTTGTGTGTGTGTGTGTTTTTTTATTTTTTTATTTTTTTATTTTTTTTTTTTTTGACAAATAAAATAAAGCTAATACTGTATTTTTTATTTTATTAGTAAAATGAGGTGGATTTTTTTGTCATTTAAAATAGACAATGAAAATAAAGACAAAGTAGAACTTTGTGCTAGACACTAATTCATGAAAGTAAACAACAGTTGAATGAGTTTTTAACCTATTTTGATATATGGGTGGGATTTTTAAAATAAAAGACATTGTTTTTTGAAGCCATTTATATTTCATTACATTCATTTCATTTCATTCATTTAAAAAAAAAAATATATGGAACAAAAGGCTCAAAATAAAGCACATAACAAGATTACAATAGGTATGACTCAAGAACCTGGGCGCTCTCGTAACTGATCGGCAGATGTCTCCATTGGAAATTGCAAATGAATTCAGTTCAAAATTAAAATGCTTTTGGAGTCATTCACTAGGGACTGGAATTCAGCCTTTAAATACACATGGGAAACCATCAAATGTGAGTCAATAAAACAACGCATGAAAAGCCACTCATCCTGGCGAGACTCTTCTACACCAGCTTTTGAGAAAGCACTTCAGAGGGTTTGCAATAGCACAAATTCCACAGCCAGCATAAAAACAGATTGTGTTAGCAATAACCTTTCCTCCTTTTTCTTATCCTGTACCAGCAAGATGATGTTAAATAGAATAGCACTTAATAAATTAATTTACTTATTAAATAAAAAAGTTTCTACCTGTAAAAAGTTATAGTTTTAAAGCTATACTTTAACCATAGATGCACTTCAGCTGCTTCCAAGGCTGAACTGTGAAGTGGGTTTGTTACCGTAACCAATGTCCTGAGTCTCTGAAGCAGAAAAGCCAGGGTGGGGACTCGGCTCCAGACCGAGACAATGTAGACGTGCTTGCACAGGAGTCTCAGCTCCCTGCAGCTGGTAGAGGTCTGGCCACCCAAGCTCACGGAGCCCAAGGCATGGGACATCCCTCTGCCTTAGGGCACTCTAATCCCCTATGCTTTACCAGCTGTACTTACTGCACAGTAATGTCCAATGCCATCTCAGATGTTTAAGGCATTGGGCAGAGGACAGATGTGACACAAGACATACTAGGGAGCCATCCATTAAGGTATGGGTGGGTGGATGAATATCCCTTGGCTTCCACTAAGTATAATGGAGACTACAGTGAAGATGAGTGCTGTGAGATGTGTGAATGTACATCCTAGCCCAGCTGGCATTTTAAATCTCTTTAAAGTGACATTTTTGCTTGGGACTGTAATTAGGCAGTATCCACCTTCTTAAAGATAAAGGTAGAAAGGAAGAGAAGAGGAATTCATACAAGTCTCGACAGTTTCTTTTGCAAATAGTTTCTCTCAAAAGACAAAATCCTGGATTTCCTTCTTACGTGTAAAAGTCTGTACTTCAATGATTGCTTTACACTCAACTAAATCTAAGCTGGAACTATACCAAAATTCCTAAAGACATTTTTCATAAATGAACAGTATCAATCTCCATATTTCACTGACAAATGTTGATATTACAAAGCTCAGTCATACAAAAAGGCAAGGAAAATTAACCAGTTATAGCACTTTGTAAACATTTTATTTTAAGGTCAATCACCACAGTCCATTTCTTCTGTCTGGTTTGTAAATTTATGCTTTGGTTATTAACTGCAGTAATTTTGCTAGAAGGGAGTCCTCTGCTATGGGCCAGAGATACTCTGCCACTGACTTACCAGTATTAAACTTTTAATGTTCTCATAATCTATTCAAAGTAGACACATTTTTTCCCCAGACTGTTGTCCATTTACAACAAATTTTACACATCTCTTATTACGACAGTTAAGATCTTAAATCTAGTTTTCTGGGAAATAGCACAATCATTTCTTTTTCTTTAATTTAAAATGCTTCATATGCTATTAAATCAAAATCTTCTGTAACAAAATGTTTGACCTTATGAAGTCCTTCAGTCTCTGTGAGTCAATCTGTTCTATCCTGCTGAGTTCACTCAATCTAGCTAACTTTTTTAAGCACATGAAGAGATTATAACTTCATACTTGAATGAAACTATCCAGTGCAACCTTATTGCTTCCGTAGTTAATCAGCTCACTGCCACACAGCTCCATTTGTCCGGAACAACAAGGGCTTGCCCTACCAAGCACAGCTACATCTTCCTTTGGATTCATTTTTTCCACAGAATTGTCCACATGGCTAATCTAAGAATGAACAATATGTCTGACACCATCTTAGAATAGTCTATAGTTGGCCTTGTAGCATTTGCACTCCCAATGCTTCATCTGTTTTATATTCTTACATTGTTCTATCAAATAAAGAAGCAACTGTGACACAACTTCTAGGGGTTTCTGATGCTGACAACAATATGGGAGGTTCCTGTCACTTAAATTTGGATTTCTGTTGTATTGAGATTCACAGCTAACCTACTCACCGTAGTTCCTTCTAAAATCAGTGGCAAGAAACAGTGACTTAGAGACAAATCACCTGTCTAGCTTAGATGGCCACTGCAGAGTAAGATGACTAATGTCCCCATAGTGCCTGTTTCTGTTCCCAGAGCAGAAAGGAAGCCAAGGGGGACCAGCTCAGCTGCTTGCCACAACTCTTTTTCATAACTGAATATGACAGACGTCTTTCAAAATTCCTCTGGATGAATAGCAGCTAATGTCAGAAAATTGGACCTTCAGAAGTACGTTTCATGTCAGTGTCAGTCCTTGGAAAATGGGGCACTTGAAGGCACGTCTGTGTGTGAATGCCTCAGCTTCCAGCCAGTCACCCAAATTCCCCACACAGAAAAAATTAAGTACCTAAAATTAACGGAGGAATTCCATCTATGGATAAAATACAGAAGAAAAACCTAAAATTTCCTGGGTTTAAAAATGTAAAATAGCAATAACTAAGTCCGCCAGAAATATTTCTCAAGATAAAAAGTGCAACAGTTCTTGAATCCTGCATATACTGCTCAGTTACAGTTTTTCAGCAGAGAACAAATAAACATTCCACACTAAGCAAAAAGTACTTTAGATTATCACACTTATTTGACAAATTCTTCAGTGCGAATCTGAATTTCATATTCATGCTAACTCTTTAGTCAAACTTCAATTAGAAGCTTGTATATACTTTTATAATCTCATTGAAAACTGCAGCTAAAGCAGCTTTACTTTGTGAAACATCCCAGTTTACTTTGGTTGAACTCTGATAGATTATGACTGAAGACTTTTTCAAGAGTTCACTACATCTTAGCCTTCCTTAAGCGAATGTTATGACAAAGCTGCCTGTGTGAGTGAATTACGACTACTGATTGGTCACTAGTTCCTATGATATTACTTATTACACGCTCAGTGATAAATTAAAGTACTTAACAAGAAAAAGTCATATCCAAGACCTTTATTATGGAATTTAAAGATAGTAAACTTTCATTTGCAGAGAGAAAATAATGAGTTTGGTGAGCAAGCAGATGGAATATTTCAACAAATCCACTATTCACATCAAAATGAAGAATTTACTTAATCTTTCTAAAAATTAAGACTAGCAGAATAAAACAGCTTTTAAATTTATTTATTTTTTAATCTAGACCTTATTAATGTTCATATTCTTCATCTTAACAGATAATGCTGTCAGTATTTATTGATTCAATCTTCTGATAATTACATCATCCTTTCAGCATGTCAGAGAACGTCAAGGTGACTGTGATGACATGAGACTGGTGTACGACTCTAATGTCATAATATATTTGTGTCAATTTTTTGTCCACAAACAGACTTGTAACAACTCTCAAATTTGATCTTAGAAGAGCAAAATACTGACTTTATTAATAATCTGCTATGTAACAATGCTCATTACTTGCTGTAAGGCTGCCAAAGTAACATTGTCAAGTAATTATTTAAATAGTTTTATTTAAATGAAGTAGAACTCAACTTAGTATTTACACAAGTGCTGTATCTTTCCAGAACACCATTGGGTCTTTCAATATTCAACTGTTTAATTTGATTTTATCAGGGAAAAATATTCTCACACAGCTGCAAAACATCTTTACTTTCCTTTACAGATGTCTGATACTATATTTGTTTATCACCTGGATTTCTCCTGAACATTTGTTTCCTTCAAGAGTTCAACCAGCTCAAGCTTGGCTTTATGAAGACAAATGCTTTGGTTATAACCTGCCTTTGATTTTAATAATTACATTATTTTTCCTAAGGGTTGAAATGAGGCCAGGATTACAGCATATTGATTCATCTGACAAATGTAAAAAAATTAAAAAAATAAAATCCTACTTTGTGGGTTTTAATGTCTTGAAGTTATCTTGAAGTTAAAGAGCATACTTTCTTTTCACAAGGATTCATATGACAGGAGTGTAGCAGTTCATAAAATATAATTAAACTCAGTCATTAGATAAACTAATAAAATATAAACAGATTTTGTTAGTAAGAAAAACAAACAAACAACAACATTTTTTTCTTCTTTTCCTTCAATAGCTTTATAAGGTGCAAAGACATACCTGGATTGGCATGAGCACCCTGTAATGATGGATTTTATTCAGTAATAAAATCCAGCTGGGCAGAACTGAGGAACACCCATGTCTCAGGGAATAAGAAACTCATGTGAGGGACTGCACTTCTTTCTTGCAGTTTTGTAGTAAGGACTATTGGATTGAACTCACTTTAGGACAGAGTCGGACTCCTGCAAGGTAATATTCCCATATGTGAAGATTTCATAATTTTCACCTCAATCTATCCTCAAATTTCCTAAGCTCTACAACAAACTTTAACAGTACTGTGTTAGTAAACACCTTTTTTTTATGGTGTGGCACAAGCTGTGAGAGAGACTTTGTGCCCATTCAAGGGCATAATATTTCATCTCATCTGCAAGTTTGCAGGTTACACAGAAGTTGGAGGACTCTCTGAACAGCCAGAGAGATGTGCTGCCATTCAGAGGGACCTCAATAGGCTCGAGAGGTGGTCTGATAGGAACCTCATCAAGTTCAACAAGAAGTACAGGGTCCTGTACCTGGGGAGGAACAACTCAAGGCACCAGGACATGTTGGAGCCACCCAGCTGGAAACAGCTCTGCAGAACAGGACCTGGTAAGCCTGATGGACACCAAGATGAATGTGAGGCAGCAATGTGCCCTTGCTGCTAAGAAGGCTGCAAGGCGTTCTTGGCTGCATTAGGAAAAGTATTGCCAGAAGGTTTAGGAAGTGATGCTTTCTCTCAGACTTGGTGAGAACACAGATGGAGTGCTGGGTCCAGTTCTGGGCCCCCTATTGCAGGAGGAACATGGACAGAGTCCAGCATGAAGATGATGAAGGGACTGGAGCACCTCTCCTATGATGGAAGCTGAGGGAGCTGGGGCTGTTCAGTCTGGAAAAGAGGAGGCTCAGGGGGATCTCATCAGTGTCTATGAATACCTAAAGGGAAGGGGCAAAGAGGATGGAGCCAGGCTCTTTTCAGTGGTGCCCAGTGCCAGAACAAGAGGCAATAGACACAACCTGGGAGGTGCTGCCTGAACAGCAGGAGTACTTCTGTGCCATGTGGGTGACTGAGCACTGGCACAGGCTGCCCAGAGAGGCTGTGGGGTCTCCTCCTTGGAGACCTTCAGAAGCTGCCTGGACGTGGTCCTGGGCAGCCTGATCTGGGTGTCCCTGCTTGGGCAAGGGTTGGACAGGATGAATGCCAGGGCCCTTCACGCTTCAGCCATTCTGTGATTCTGGGTGGTTCTGCGACAACCCCTTCCTCTCTCCACCTGCCAACACTGCAGCTATGGCTGAGTGGGAGCAGCTCTGGGTGCTTTTGCCCTTTCTCTGTGCAACAAGTGGTCAGAGAGCTGACCCTGCTCCCAGGGCATGGCACAGCAGCAAGGCCTTAGTACTCTTCTCTATTCAGTGTATCTGCATCTGATAAAAATGCAGATGTACCAAACATTCCCTGCAGTAAGCAGTTCCCTTTCATTGGTATATTCTTAAAATTGGATTATGCTTTTTACGAGATCTGGAACAGATTTTTATTGTGAACTATCTGTGAAAACATACAAATGATTATCAGTCATAACACTGATAACAGATAAGCAAACAGTGAAATAACTGGTACGACAGGTGATGATCAGGAGCTTAACATAGGGCTCTTGAGCTCAATTTTCCTATAAGTCTAATCAGCTCCACTTACAAATATAACAAATTGGCAGATATGGAGGAAGCAGTCTGATCACAACATTTGTTTGCCATAATATGCCAGAAATTAGTTTACAAACTTGTCTTCAGAATTACAATAATAACCGTTTCCCAATATCATTTCACATTTGCAAGAGGCTTCAATGCATCTTAATTGATGAAGTCCAAGAGCCCCATAATTTCATCTTGAATATGTGATCGCTTCCTGATAAACACAAAATGCAGGGAAAATAATAGGCCTGGCACGACAGGAGAGTTCGGGAGAGGGGACTCTGACTGATTGTAGCAACACAACACATGACAATCAGGCACCACAGAAATGGGCACAAGACAAGAAATTATGCCGGCAGGCATGTTAGCAGTGTGAAGTTCTTGCAGCCACAGGAATATTTGCTTAATATATTCTGAGACATACCCATACAGAATGCAGTTTTAAGATGACCCTAGATTTCTAGATGATAGCTTTTTTTCCTCTTCTTTATCAAAGATATTCCTCTGTTGCTAAGAATTGCCATGCAACTTCAGCCTGTCAATCCAGCTGAATGTACCTCTCAAAACATGATGACAACATCTTTTATAAGGGAAAGTATTTTGTTATTGTTGTCACAGTCAATGAAGGCTTAATTTGTTTTTCCTTGACTTTTATGCACTATTATCTGTATTATAATAACAGTCATGTACAGTTAAAGATTGGGTTGTATTGTGCCAGCATCTTTGTACAGAATAATAAAGAAGAAAGTCCTTGCTTTAGAAATCATTCTCTAACTGGTGAACAAATAAGGCAAATATTAGAGTTAACAAAATAAAATAATAATAAAAGACAATTGGGTCACAAATAGACATTTCCTTAATCAATGCCAAACAGGAATGATTTTCTTATAAGCACAGAGAAGATGGATTTTGAGGTAAGATTCAATGAGAACAAAAAACTGAGCAAATCCACACACTTCCTCCCAAAGACAGGTCACTGTGGAGAATTACCCCAAAAGCTACATCACCATTGCTTGCTTTCTGGATACTTTCTTTTTGCCTCCTGGCATGGAAAAGTGGGCAGGTCAAGTTCTCAGACTTTATGTGTATGCTAATTACTAGCTAATATGCAAGAAAATGACCAGACCAACTCCATGTGTCTTGTTGCCACACATTTCCTTCTTCCATCTGTCTTGGGTTTGTTTGTTTGTTTGTTTGTTTGTTTGTTTTCTGAACTGAGTGCAGTGTAGGAGAATCTGATGTATTGGGTTCTAGTAGCTGTGGTGGGGGTCCTTGCCTATCTCAGCCAGGGCAGTGCTTAGGGGGAAGATCAGAAAATCTCCACAACCGAGCAATTACAGGCTTACAAACTAGTCCAAGAGACTTAAGAGTTTCTGGGACCACTCATGAGAGCAGACAAGCTGATTCAATCTCTAAGATTCAGAGGCCTAAAGGGAACCTCACTGGGTTTTAGGTGGGATTTAAATGGTTGGATCTGTGTAGCGCTTCTGTGCTTTACCTTTGTCCCACACCTAGAAACTCTACAAATTTGTCACTTGCACCAGATTTTCCCACATGGTTACTACTCAAGTCTATCTCATTTTCCAGGTGCCAAGTCTGACATATAGGGTCTGACACGTGGAATGAACTGGAACTTCTCAACATACAAATTGCAGTACAGTACTGGGTGTCTCTAAAAGCCAGATCACAGCTCTCTTAAGGTGGATGCCAAACTTACAGGATACTGCTTGATCTTAATCATTTGTTTTATTTTCTGATTGGTAAATGGAGATAAAACCACAAGTGTCACTGTACATGTTTCCTTTTGTTTTTACATAAAAATAAAGATTTGGAATGTGCTGGTTAACAGCATTCAAAATGCAGCAATTGAAGATGGTATTTGAAAATTGAGTGAAATAAGGAGAATGAGAAAGAAACACATATGTAAAAATGTGTACTTGTGTATATATATATAAATTATTCCACATTACTAAAAAGACCTATAATTTGCACATTTTTAAAAATATTACTTACTGCGTTCAATAGCTATTAGTACAGATAAAAAATCCCCAACCTGTCACAATGAATATTTTAATCTCTTAATATATTTTTTATGAAATCCATACCTTATTGGGATCAGATTCCTCTCAGGAATATGAACCAGCCAAAAAAAAATGATAACTTCACAAAGTTTTACATCAGTTTTTTACTACATGCCTTTTATTAAAAATTAAAATTCAATAATAATACAAAAAAATCACATTAAAATTCTATGATGCTGTAAGGTTTTCCCTTACTATTTTCTAGCCATCCCGGGGAAGAAAACCACATGTATATAAGACCTGAAAAACCATCACTACAGAATAAACATTCTTGTTTAATTAGACCAGAATGGGCCTCAACACATCAATTAGCACTTTACTTTTGGCTATGTAGAACTGCCTCTAAAGGCATTTTCTTGTTTGAAAACTGCAGGGGCCCTTTTATAAGCACTACCACACTGTAAAATTTTCCTCTGTTTCCACCACAGTGACCACCTATCCTTCCATCTGCAAAACATTAAGTGTTGCTTGTAGTGTTGAACTGCCATCTGCACCTGCTATTCAAAACTAACAAATACAAAAAATATTACACATGCCACACATTTACGTAGGCTCATTCTACTTTTCAACCTTGGCCACCTTGACAACACCATTACTAATAGGTTCTATAGGTATATTTGTAAGGTTAAAAGCTTGAATTATTATACTGTCATCATTATAATTCACCAAAGATGTTTGAAATATATCATGGAGCAGATGCCATCATTCACTTTTATGTATGTTAAATTGCAGTGTAACTCAGGGCTTTTCAGCAGATTAGGCAAAATTGGATTTTGATGTCCAAGACCCAGGGCTGATAAGCTGTTCCTGCCCCAGCAGGCAGTTGGGTTAAAACTGACAAGTACAAGAGTACTTGAAGAAATGGGTGAAGGTGTTCAAGGTGATGGGGCTGGATTGCACAACACCCAAACCAGGCCAATTTAAGTATTTTCAGCATTTCTTGTTCCTCCACCCTTGGGTCACTACTGTCTGCCTCAGCCGTGTAAGTGTGGGGAATCTTCCTTCTCAGCAGGTGGACACAGTTCCTTGTTGGGTCAGCAACAGTTAATGTCTTTGCCACTTGAATTAATAAAGCTTAAGCCCTTTGTCTAAGACACATACGATAGTCATTTTATTTTTATTTTTTTGTAGAAACGGTCAACTTTTGGCCATAAATACATATAAGTGGTAATTAAACAAACATCTTGACAGACAAACTTTGAAAGTTTTGTGGTTGCTATAACTTTGTTACATGCATTTGGCAGAGGGGAGTATCTTAAAATTAAACTCAAATGTAAACTTTCTTGACCGATGTCAGTTTGGCACCAACTCACTATTTAATTGACTGTTAACAAATTCTCCAAGATATGACTGCTATACAGATATTTTATCTTCCTGTTAATTGGTAATTATGCATTGGCAGGAAAAACAGTGTTTCTTTCCAATTATTCCAGAACTCAGTGATTATTTAAACTTTGCTAATTAGCAGCGGAGGGTTGGTACAACTTCTGGGCAAATTGTATTTGATAATCCCTATTAAAATATACATGGCAGTAGTTGACTTGTAACAAACTAGAAAAAAAAAAAGTGGCAGTTCAAAGGGTATTAGATACAGCACAAGGCAAATGGGGGCCTATTAAAATTTCCCCAACTGTTCTAATGAGAATGCCGAGGGTCATTTCTTCCTAGTTTACCATCTGTTTGGTTTCTGGCAAATATCTCCGGTGTGAAGGGAGGGTCCTGGAGCCCATTTGGCTTGTCACAAAGTAAACCAGGGATCCACAGCAATTTCAGTAAGTTATAGAACTGCACTTCAAGAGCAGTCGTATGTACATAGCTGAAAACTTATTCTCAGGAGCTGGCATTTGCCGATTATTCCTTACTTTTTAAGGCTGTGAGCAAGCATGGAGAGGCAAAGACTGAGCAGGAGGGAGCAGATTTGTGGGCTCACCTAACAATAAAAATCCAACAGTTGGCCTTTTTCCATCTTAAAATGTCAGCGGGGGATATTTTCTTTTATCTGTCGCAATCTGCAAGCAAAACATTGCCCCAGAACCAACAGTGTTTAAGCACGAAATGATGCCAAAACTGAGCCTCTGGAGGCTCCAAACCACATGCCCAGTGCAGGAGCAGGGGGAGCACATGGGCTCCTCTTACATCTCCAGTGCTCAGTCTGGACCAAGGTACCACCTGCACAACCAGAGTACATCCCACTGTACCTTCTTGGAGATGGCACTCTGGTGCCCGTCTACTACCTGGGCACCTTCTTTGCCCTTCTTCCTCCAGGGATGAGATCAGAAGCACCATCAATGACTCTCACCTGCAGTAACCCTGCCCTAAGACTACAAGTGACCTGCAAACCAGATCACAAAGATCCTTCAGCCATAAATTTAAAGGGGTTTTGGTTTTAGTCTGGAATGAAAATATGCATGTAACCAAAACATTGAGCAGAAGATTATGCGAAGACTGCCTTAATTCTGTCAAAAGGGAACAGAGTAATTTAAAACAGCATGAGATAGAATGTGATGCCAAGAAATTATTTCTGATGATTGCTCTTTCCAGGCATTTTTCTAGAAAATTTATTACTCACCATACTTTAAGGAATATTTGTAACTATTTATTTTATTTTAATTTAATTTAATTTAATTTAATTTAATTTAATTTTATTTTATTTTATTTTATTTTATTTTATTTTATTTATTTTATTGTATTTTATTTTATTTTATTTTATTTTATTTTATTTTATTTTATTTTATTTTATTTTATTTTATTTCATTATTTTATTTTTTAAATCTCAAAGACTCAATGTATTACTTACAGGAATGGCGACAACCTTCATAATATACAAAAAAAGAGCTGCAAAACAGGAAAACTTCATGATGATCTTTTAAAGGATGATCTTTCATATACTCTTTTAAAAGATGATCTTTAATATACTATTTTGTTTGTTTGTTTGTTTTGTTTTCTAGCACATGCAATTAGTGTCTTGTTCAGGCACTAAAATGTTTCCAGATAACATCACTCTCATAGTCTCTTACAAAGTAGCTCACAGAGTTAACCAAAACCTAAAATTCACCAGAAGTTTATAACCTCACTGTGGAAAGGAGACATCTGTTTTAAAAGATAGTAACTTACAAGTTGTATAAACCTACACAGAAAACATACCCCAATTTTTTTTTTAGTCACTTAGACTGGTAGCGAAACTTCCCAGTGCAGGGAGAGCCTCGGATCCACTGTCTCTACCATAAATAACAGAACCTTTCTAAAGGGCCTTTTAAATTTAGGTTAAAAGGCTAATGTATATGTGAGCATTATCGTAAAATTGCTTGTTTATTCTGTGCTCATTAAAATATAAACATTAGTGTAATGGTTAACTACGATTTTACAGAAAATTAGATAAATTTTTTAGTGTAACTGTGGCTTATATTTTCTGTAATGAGGACAGACTCAGGTTCTCAGCACACAGTGCTCCTTATCGCTGCTAAGGGATTATGCTCTAATCTTCTCCTTTAATTGCATAAATGATATTGCATTTCTTGCTTTCAAGTCCATATATTTGTGGAGGAGCTGAACTGCTTTCTCATACTTGTGACTATGTATCAGTCCCCCTACCACTCCCCAGCACCACTGAACCTCAATTTCATTTGGAAGCCATCATTCCATTCAAACCCCATCACTGCATTTGAAGGTTCCAAATGTGTTTTGTGGTACTACTCAATGCCGCTCTTTTATTATATTTTTGGAAGAAGTCTAGCAGTGAGAGCCCCCAAATGACCATATGGACATCCTGGCCATGTGGAAGAGTAGCCCTAGTGCGCTGATAAACCCCAGAGTGCAGCTAGCAAATGCCACAAGATGTAGAAAAGAAACAAAGAGCAGCAAGGGCTGTCAGAGTCAAAAGCAAGCAAAAAGCAAGGACACACAGGGATGGAGAGATCCTTCATGAGTCCAAAGTGTGCCGAGAGAGAGAGATGGGGTGTTAATGATATGGCCTGAAAAAGGGGGAGATGACAAGCAAGAATGGAGCTTTAAGGGCAATACTGAAGGAAGTGGAAAGGAGTCTCAGATACCCACAGGTTCAGACATGAGAGTGGAAACAATACTGGAGAGATGCAATTCAGGATATCTGTTGCATCAAAGGGATCTTACAAAGAAAACAACACTGTCTAAAAGTTAGATTTGGGGACAATTTCTTTTCTAGGGACCATCACAATTTGTTTGATGAGGTTTCCACTATACATTTATGCTTTATCCCTGTTTTAATTTCAGATTTACAGATTTAGTTTTACTTTAGCTGAATCCAGACAATGGTTCAGCCTGGGACAAAAGATGAATAAATAAGATGACTATTAATTTTATTCCCCAAAGCTGACTCATATCTCCCTCCAGGAGTTGTTAAAAAGTTTTCCAAATAAATATTTCAGCAAGTTTCATGTTGGTATAATCCCACAGGAAAAAACAAACAAACAAACAAACAAAAAACATGAACTATTTCTTTGGCTGCACAATATATACTAAAAAGAAAGAATTCATAACCCTTGTAATTAAACCTGCTAGTACTATCATTTTATCTGTTTTCTTCAAAGTTCTTGACATGGTTAACTAACTGCGGTAACTGACAGTGATTGTGTGTCTATCAAGTGATTTCCTAAATTAGGTAATTAAAAGATAATTGTAGCCACAATACAGTAACTTATGGCACAAAAGACAGATTTGTGTATGTTGGGAAGAATTCATAGAGTTGGGGCAGACTAGAAGATTATGATAATCTAGCATGACCTGTGTAATGCAGACAAGAGTATTTCAGTGGAAATATTACAAGGGAGAAAAAATATTCTTCCTTGCTCTGTAAGTAACTACTATCAACCGAATTTCAGAATATTGCTATGCTTGTTTTTTTAAAGAACCATCTTTGTCTACCCACCCACTCTATGCTAAAACCACACAAATCTTTGATTTGTCTCTGAACCTTACACAGTTCTCAACATTTAAAAAAAAGATTAATTCCAGCAAGCTGAATCTAATGTGAACATCCCAATCACTTGCTGGAAAGGAGGAGCAGCTTCTTTGCTAATTAGAAATGATGACACAACAGATGGATCCAGGCTTTCTTGAAAAAGTGCTTTAAGTTTTCTTCAGAAAATGAAACAATTCCATTTCTACCTGCTAAGATATTAAATTATATATAACATACTGTAGAGACTACTCTTTCTTTCAACAGCAGACTGTAAATTTAAAATTACTGTTAACTTTTAAAGTACCAAATAGTTTTAAGTGCAGATCAGTCACATGTTTTAAATGCTTTTTGGAAGAGTCCAGCTCTTACTGCAGAGTGGAGAAAGAAGTTTGTGTAATTTTCCATGGTAGGAGCCATCAGTCCCATGCCTGACTGCTTGCACATCACTTTGCCTTTCAGACTTACCCAGCCCATAGTCTTGTGTTTTATTTTTGGAACATGTGGAACTGGTTTATTTGTTGGTTATCTTACCAGCAATGGAATGGTCAAAGCAACACCTCCAGAGCTATACAGTGACCTTCAGCAAACTGAAACAGGCTATGTCTTTTTTCCTGTCACTCATCTCAAGGTAGTATAAGGTCTGTCAAAGTGAGAAACCCGGTAACAGCCCCTCTCCACAAATAGAGATACAAATTCGGGAAAAAATGCAGGCCTACTCTGGTAAATGCACAAAGTTATTTAGGTTCTTAAAATATTTTACTTGCATTCCATTCTTAAATTATTTAAGTGTGATTAAACATGGCACGCATGTCTTGCCTGGTGAGTTTTCAGCACAAAGTGAAGATCTCCCCAGTGACATGAACTAAAGACCTATTTTCTGGAAAGATAGGCTTGCCAGCCATTTGGTCCCCCAGAAATTTCCCACCATTAAGTGTTTTCCTCCTCTTTTACCCTGACAGATCCCACTCAGAGTAGTGGGCAATGAGAAAGAACAGCATTGCTTCTTCCAGAAAAAAAGCATCTTTTTGTTCATTTTATCTTACTCAGTTTGAGGTTAATCACTGATGCTATTAACAGGAGTAGAGCTGTTCTCAAGGTATTCCTCAACTCACAATCTTAAATAATGTGTTATTTACAACATGAGCTCACTTACATTACAATATTTCATTTATGACCAAGTATACCACTGCTGTATGATGCTCACAGGCCCAAGCAAGTTTCATATGCAAGAAAACATGATCACCACCAGGTATCACCATGGTATCATAGAGATAATGTTTTGTTTTTTGGAAGATTATTTGTAAAAATATAAAAAATACTACCTAATAACAACCTGATGAACATATAGTGGTAAATTACTTGCAGAAATGTGGAGGGTAGTTTTCAAAAGTGCTTGTCCTTAATGCAGTTGGCTTGGCTTCTGCCACTGAATGCAACAGCAGAACCTGAAGCATATAAAAGTTTCACAAAAACCTTTCCTATCGCTTGTACTACAACTTTGTTTTTTCCCACATGGAAAATAATTGGTTATATAAAATACATTGGCCAGTATTCCAGTTTTAAGGAAGATACTATTGTTAAGTGGATTGAAAAAGTAGGTTGACATTAAGCTCAAAGGAATCAGCTTTTTAGTCCAAGAAGAGTTAAATGCTTGGAGCTAAATGTTTCGGTTTATACCAAATGTCACCCAATTTATAAAAGGCTGCTCTGCCCAGATCAGCTGCTGAGGTTTTTCTTCTTTTAAAATTCATATAATTCGGTATACCAAAAATCAGTATACAGGGCTGACCAAAGACAGAGAAAGTGGAGGAAGGAATGCAAGCTGCCTAAAAACTGCCACTGCCTTATCTCATTGACTCCCACTGACTTTCATGTGTTGTTGATTACTGAGTCTAAATCATAGTGTAAATAACCATGTTGTTATTGATGTTCTCTCACCAAGCACTGGACCGAGTATTAATTAGCCTGGGTTGCAGAACATGAATTACACCAGACTTACCAAATCCAAAAGCACTGGAACCACCAACACTCTGGGAAGCCTGAACACTGGTAGAGGTGTATAGGCCAGTCACCAGTAAGCCATCAAAGAAGGTACTTGTTGAAATAGTCACTGAAATGAGAGAAATAAAATGTGTAATTATTTACAAGCAGTATTTAAAACCCTACAC